CACTTAATGAGGATTTATTAACTGAATTTTTTAATGTTACAAACATAGAATTTAATCCACGTGGATTAACCTGAGATAATTTTTATCCACATTCTTTGATAAATTCAATAGCTAATTCAACATCATCATCATTGGATGGATTTTTGAGTAAAAAAATTAATATTTCGAAAGCAATAAATTCATGTAACTAAATAGAAAACGAAAAGCAGAAAATATTCTTTTAATTTTTTAATCATACATACGACATTTTGATTTATCAACCCTTTCCAGCCGGCTACTAGAAGACAAGTAACAAAAAAGTCTTTTTATGGATTTTCGTTGCTCCTAGACTATGGAGATAGGAAAAGTTTATTTCTCAGAGCCAATAAGTGCTTCGGCATCTAATGGCTTCATGTATCCATTTGGATACATCCGGCCACTAAGGGACAGAAATTTTGAAAAAGTCATTTCTTTTTGTCCAGCAAAATTTGATATTTTATGGTTTTTCTTACATCTATATTTGTAGATGAAATCACACGTTGCCTATTTGTCGATGTTTTACAGTCCAAAGCTTAAATATTTCTAGAATGTTCTAAGATTCTGCAGTATAGTGCAATAGTAGCTCAATTTTTTTCGAAAAGTTTTAGAAATTCAGAAACATTCTAAAGAGTTTCTGAACATTTTCTAGTGTTCCAAACTAGGCTATCACGAAATATTCAGCAACTCTACAATATTCCTGAATTTATAGAAATTTTCGAAAAAAATTGAGCTACTATTGCACTATACTGCAGAATCTTAGAACATTCTAGAAATATTTAAGCTTTGGACTGTAAAACATCGACAAACAGGCAACGTGTGATTTCATCTACAAATATGGATGTAAGAAAAACCATAAAATATTAAATTTTGCTGGACAAAAAGAGATGACTTTTTCAAAATTTTTGTCCCTTAGTGGCCGGATGTATCCAAATGGATACATTCCCATTTTTTATTATTCGGATTTTTTAAATAATCCGTCTTAGTGATCCAATAGACAGTAGGTCTATGAAGGAAAATTAACAACTGCTTGCTTCGAAGTTTGATTATTTAGAGACGCAAGAAGAGGATTATTTCTATACGGACGCTATTTTGGAGCATTTTGGATAGAGCCGGCCATTTTCTTAGAGAGTGTTATTTCCTTCTTCTAAACACGTGAATGTGTGTTGAAATGTGTTAACTTATTTATCAAATCGTCAAAACATTTCATATTATCACTACAAGTTACTTCTTCGTAAAACATTGGCTTCATGTATCCAAATGGATACATCCGGCTGTAAAGGGTTAAATGTCCAATAAATTTTATTGTCGAGAAGCATATTGCTTCATCATTATCTTCATATGATCGGCAAAAGGGTATTATTGTTTTTTTGCTAACATAATCGCCAACTGTATTAATAAATACATTGATAACTGAAACTAAACAAGCATATAGGGTGTCCGGAAAGTCCTTAGAGTTAGGGAAATTTTTATATCTCCTTTACGGGTCGACCAAACGAGCTCATTTTTTTAACAAAGATTGAGGCATGTTGACACTCCAAATCCATATGGACAAGGGTATTGAGAATCTTCGTTAAGTATCACTATTGACCTAAACAAGAAATTTTTACTGTTCCACAGAGAGGAAGAAAAACCTTATACTTAACAAAGGTTCTCACTAACTTTGTCAGTATGGATTTCGAGTGTGGATATGCCTCTATCCTGGGTAAAAATATCAGTTGGTTCACTCAAGCCATAATGGAGAGAATCAATTGTCTTTTCAATAAAGTGTCTTTTGCCCTATCCTGTGTAATGTTTGTTTTCCTAACTGTGAAACAGTAAAATTTTCTTGTTGTGGTCAATAGTGATACTTAACAAAGATTCTCAATACTCTTGTCCATATGAATTTGGAGTGTGAACATGCCTCAATCTTTGTTAGAAAAATGAGCTCGTTTAGTCGAACCATAATGGAGATATCCAAATTTTTGTAACTCTAAGGACTTTCCGGACACCTTATATACTTGTGTATTATGTGGTGATGTTGATTGAGCACGTATAATACTCCGAGCAAAATGGCCGCAACCTTTCACTATATTTACCATGAATAATTCAATGATGATGTTTGATATGTTTGAAATATTTGCCTCATGAACAAGACGAATTATTTTTTTTTTCAAATTATTCCATTCTTTACGTTGATTCTTTTTAGATGATTTATTATCTGATCGTGCAGAAGACATTGTTTTTAACAGATATCTAAAACACAGTACATTTAAATACTTTTCTTCTATTAACAAAGTGCTAAGTGGTACTTTGTTCAAAATAACAAAGCATCCAGAGCTCGTATCGGACGGACTTGTGGTTATTTGAAAACAGAAAATAGACTGTGTTTAAATATCGTTTCACGTTTATATACATGAAAAAAAAAAGAAAGGAGAAACAGAAAGAAGAAACATCAACCACTGGATTTGAGTAAATTATAAGAGAAATTGTATTTGAATAGAAGAAACAATAACTTTAACTTTATCTGCTCTTTTCTAAAAACAAAGTAAAATAATTAATTGAATCATACGCTATTCCATTTTTATTCGTTATTTTATTTTACCTGATTTGTCACTACGTACATTCACAAAATTATAGTAAAATAAATGATGTCACTAGTTGCCATACATACTTTACTTTTAATTTGTTTTTTTTCGTCTCTCTTCTTGTTTATATTCACTCTCTTATATTTATATCTATCTTCTTCTTGAGAGCTGAATCAATATTGATTTCTCTTTATAATTATTCTTATTTTATCAGGAGATTTCGATCGATATTATTCCACATTCAACTCTAATTTACAGAATTTTATCTCTAAGTTTTACACCTATGGACAATTGAATCCTGTACAAAGTCACGACGTTTCGCAGTATCTTTCTAAAAAAGTCTGCTGGTACCGAAAAAGTAATGCCAATCGCATGATTAGTCAATCTTATTCCCTCGCCTTTCTAGGTGATATTTTCATGCCTCTTCACTCTAACTGATCACATGATTTCCATGCAGCTCTTTAGCTTCAAATAGAGCTCTGAGAGTAAAAAACTTTATTGGTCAAGTATGAAGGAATGATATGAGTAAAGAGAATATAAATCTACTAAATAATATTCATATTTATCTTACCTACTAGTCGTATATTGAACAATAACATTATATAGATTTCTTCTAAAATCAAAATGATGTAAATAAGTTAATAATTTGCATAAACATTGAATAGCTAAATATCCAAGATTAAGTTTTGATGGTTCAATTGTTTTAATTTGTTTATGTTTATTTTTTGTTAAATGATTATCTGGAAGAGTTTTTCTAGCACATTCTTCAAGAAAATAAGAAAATATTGATAATGTTACAATAAAGTTTGTTCAGAATGTCGAATTATCTCAACATCTTTTGATAAAATTTCTTTGTGATTTTTTTTTATTAATTTTTATTTCATCATTTTCATCTTTTGTTTGTTCTTTTAATAAACGCATACGATAATCAGGTACAATATCAAGAAATAATTCAATTAATGAAACCATTTTTAATTTTCTTATTGTTAATGACATTAATAGATTCTTTTTTAATGGTACACATTAAATTTAATTTTTTGATGAAATTTTTTTTCTTGTTATCCTGTAAAAATAAACTTTTTTTAACATGTTACAAATTGAATTATGTAAAACTCGTCGAAAAAGTTGGTTACAGCTTCAATTAAAGATGCACCTTCGGATCGATATAAACTCAAACCTTTTCCAGCTTTTTTCAATATTGTTTATCTGAATGAAAGTTATGTTGATAAAGAAATATGGACACTTAAATTTTTGATCCCGGAAATTAAGCACAATTGATCCCGGTTATAAATTTTCAAAAGAAAAAGCGCAAATGATACCGATTTTTTAAATAATTTTTAATTACTTATATAATAACACAAGTGAT